TAATAATAAGGCGAAGAATTACAATATAATAATAATAATAACAATAATAATAGAAATAATAAATAATAATATAAAATATTATTTATATTTTTTACGTTTATATTATTTATACAATAATATAAAATAATATAAAAATAATATAAAAAATACAAAATATATATTAATAAAAACACACAATATAAAATCCTATTTTGTCACAAAATCCTGGGATATTGGGATTTTCCAAGCAGCAAATCCGGGATTTTGGCTGGGAGCAGAGCTCCTCCAGTGCCACCAGGGGCAGGGACCCCTGCACTGTCCCAGGCTGCTCCAAATCCCCGGGGTTTGCCCCGAGCCTGGCCTGGGAAAGGAGCAAGAGAATCCCATGGAATTCTCCCTGATGGGAGGGGGCTTTTCCAGGTGGAATATCTCTACATGCTGGTCTGCCAGACGCTGGATGGCATCTCCAACAAAAAGTGAGTGGAATTTTCCCTTCCCTGGGGGAATTTTCCCTTTCCAGGGAGAAATTTTCCCTTCCCTGGGGGAATTTTCCCTTCCTTGAATGGAATTTTCCCTTCCCTGGGGGAATTTTCCCTTTCCAGGGTGGAATTTTCCCTTCCCTGGTGGAGTTTTTCCTTTCCAGGATGGAATTTTCCCTTCCCTGGGAGAATTTCCCCTTCCCTGAATGGAATTTTCCCTTCCCTGGTGGAGTTTTTCCTTCCCAGGGTGGAATTTCCCCTTTCCCAGGGGAATTTTCCCTTCCCTGAATGGAATTTTCCCTTCCCAGGATGGAATTTTCCCTTCCCAGATGGAATTTTCCCTTCCCAGGATGGAATTTTCCCTTCCTTGAATGGAATTTTCCCTTCCCTGGGGGAGTTTTCCCTTCCCTGGGGGAATTTTCCCTTCCTTGAATGGAATTTTCCCTTCCCTGGGGGAATTTTCCCTTCCCAGGGTGGAATTTTCCTTTCCCAGGGTGGAATTTTCCTTTCCCAGGGTGGAATTTTCCCTTCCCTGGGGGAATTTTCCCTTCCCAGGGTGGAATTTTCCCTTCCCTGGGGGATTTTTCCCTTTCCAGAATGGAATTTCCCCTTTCCAGGATGGATTTTTCCCATTCCCAGTTGGAATTTCCCCTCCCAGGATGGGAATTCTCCATTCCTAGGATGGAATTTCCCATTCCCAGATGGAATTTCCCATTCCCAGGATGGAATTTCCCCTCCCAGATGGAATTTCCCCTCCCAGGACGGATTTTTCCCATTCCCAGATGGAATTTTCCCATTCCCAGATGGAATTTCCCATTCCCAGGATGGAATTCTCCATTTCCAGGATGGATTTTTCCCATTCCCAAATGGAATTTCCCTTCCCAGATGGAATTTTCCCTTTCCAGGATGGGAATTCTCCATTCCCAGATGGAATTTCCCCTTCCCAGGATGGAATTTTCCCTTCCCAGGATGGAATTTTCCCTTTCCAGGATGGAATTTTCCCATTCCCAGATGGAATTTCCCCTCCCAGGACGGATTTTTCCCATTCCCAGATGGAATTTTCCCATTCCAGGATGGGAATTCTCCATTCCCAGATGGAATTTTCCCATTCCCAGATGGAATTTCCCCTCCCAGGATGGGAATTCTCCATTCCCAGGATGGAATTTCTCCTCCCAGATGGAATTTTCCCTCCCAGGATGGATTTTTCCCATTCCCAGATGGAATTTCCCCTCCCAGGATGGGAATTCTCCATTCCCAGATGGATTTTTCCCATTCCCAGATGGAATTTCCATTCCCAGATGGATTTTTCCCATTCCCAGATGGAATTTCCCCTCCCAGGATGGGAATTCTCCATTCCCACATGGAATTTCCCCTCCCAGGATGGATTTTTCCCCTTCCCAGATGGAATTTCCCATTCCCAGGATGGAATTTTCCATTCCCAGATGGAATTTCCCCTTCCCAGGACAGAATTTTCCCATTCTCTCTGGAATCCCACCCCAGGGATACCCCCCAAACCCAACTCTGCTTTTCCCCCTGCTCCAAAACACCCCGAGGGATCCTTTCCCAGAGGGGGAAAAATCCCTTTGGAACCCTTTGGGTGCTTCCACACCCGCACAAAAATCATTTTTTTGGGAAGATTTTCCCCCCATTCCCACGGATTTTAACCCTTTCTTTCCCCCCCAGGAGGGAGAAGCTCCCCACTTCCCTGGGCCCCGACGGCCGCGACGCCGACGCCACCTTCGGGGACAAGGAGAAGGAGGTGAGGGAAGGAATGGATCCCAAGGGATCCCAAGGGATTCCTGTTGGGATTCCTGCTGGGATCCCTCTTGGGATTCCTGTTATTCCTTTATTCCTTTTATTCCTTTGATTTCTCCTATATTTATCTATTCTTGGGATTCCTGTTGGGATTCCTGTTGGGATTCCTGTTGGGATTCCTGTTGGGATTCCTGTTGGGATTCCTGGATTCCTGTTGGGATTCCTGTTGGGATTCCTGTTGGGATTCCTGGATTCCTGCTGGGATTCCTGGATTCCTCTTGGGATTCCTGGATTCCTGTTGGGATTCCTGTTGGGATTCCTGCTGGGATTCCTGCTGGGATTCCTGGATTCCTGTTGGGATTCCTGTTGGGATTCCTGTTGGGATTCCTGGATTCCTGTTGGGATTCCTGTTGGGATTGCTCTTGGGATTCCTGTTGGGATTCCTGGATTCCTCTTGGGATTCCTGTTGGGATTCCTGTTGGGATTCCTGTTGGGATTGCTCTTGGGATTCCTGTTTGGATTCCTGTTGGGATTCCTGTCCCCTGTCACACCTGGGGTGACACCTGGGGGCTCCTCCCCGCAGTTCCTGTCCCTGGATGACATCCCCAGGACCAGCCAGGACAGCATCAACATGAGGAGGAGTCAGCAGCTCGCTGTGAGAGGAGACCTTTGATTATTCCTCTTTCATTTCTCTCTTTTTCTCATTTGATTCCTTCTTTTTCTCCTTTTTTCCCTTCATTTTCCTCCTCTTATTCCTCCTTTGATTCCTCCTTTGATTCCTCCTTTTATTCCTCTTTCATTTCTCTTTTTTTTCTTCTTTGATTCCTTTCTTCCCTCTTTTTTTCCACTCATTTTCCTCCTTTTATTCCTTTGATTTCTCCTTTTATTCCTCCTTTGATTTATCTTTTTATCCCTGCTTTTATTTTTCTTATTTCTCCTTTGATTCCTTTTTTTTCTCTCTTTTTCCACTCATTTTCCTCCTTTTATTCCTTTGATTTCTCCTTTTATTCCTCCTTTGATTTCTCTTTGTTCTCTTTCATTCCTTTTCTCCTTCTTGTTTTCCACTCATTTTCCTCCTTTTATTCCTCCTTTGATTCCTCCATTGATTCCTCCTTTGATTTCTCCTTTTATTCCTCTTTTATTTCTTTTTGATCTCCTTTGATTCCTTTTTTTTCTCTTTTTTCCCACTCATTTTCCTCCTTTTATCCCTCCTTTGATTTCTTTTTCTCCCTCCTTTGATTTCTCTTTTTTCTCCTTTGATTCCTTTTTTTCTCTCATTTTCCATTCATTTTCCTCCTTTTATTCCTTTGATTCCTCCTTTTATTTCTTTTTTCTCCTTTGATTCCTTTTTTCCCTCTTTTTTTCCACTCATTTTCCTCCTTTTATTCCTTTGATTTCTCCTTTGATTCCTTTGATTTCTCCTTTTATCCCTCTATTTCTCTTTTTTCTCCTTTGATTCCTTTTTTTCTCTTTTTTTCCACTCATTTTCCTCCTTTTATTCCTTTGATTCCTCCTTTGCCCCTCCCTTTCTCCCCATTTTTCCCTTTTCCTCCTCTTTTTCTCTCATTTTCTCTCCTTTTCCCCTCTTTTTCTCCCATTTTTTCCCTTTTCCTCCTCTTTTTCTCTCATTTTCTCTCCTTTTCCCCTCCTTTTCTATAATTTTTCCCTTTTCCCCTCTTTTCTCTCTCATTTTTCCCTTTCTCCCCTCTTTTTCTCCCCATTTTTCCCTTTTCCTCCTCTTTTTCTCTCATTTTCTCTCCTTTTCCCCTCCTTTTCTCTCTCATTTTTCCTTTTCCCCCTCTTTTTCTCTCATTTTCTCTCCTTTTCCCTTCCTTTTCTATAATTTTTCCCTTTCCCCCTCCTTTTCTCTCTCATTTTTCCCTTTCTCCCCTCTTTTTCTCCCATTTTTTCCCTTTTCCTCCTCTTTTTCTCTCATTTTCTCTCCTTTTCCCTTCCTTTTCTATAATTTTTCCCTTTCCCCCTCATTTTCTCTCTCATTTTTCCCTTTCTCCCTCTTTCTCTCTCATTTTTCCCTTTCTCCCCTCTTTTTCTCCCCATTTTTCCCTTTCCCCCTCTTTTTCTCTCATTTTCTCTCCTTTTCCCCTCCTTTTCTCCCCTTTTTTCCCTTTTCTCCCTCTTTTTCTCCCCATTTTTCCCTTTTCCCCCTCTTTTTCTCTCATTTTCTCTCCTTTTCCCCTCTTTCTCTCTCCATTTTTCCCTTTCCCCCTCCTTTTCTCTCCTTTTTTCCCTTTTCCCCTCCTTTTCTCCCCATTTTTCCCTTTTCCCCTCTTTCTCTCTCCTTTTTTCCCTTTCCCCCTCTTTTTCTCCCCATTTTTCCCTTTTCCCCTCTTTTTCTCTCATTTTCTCTCCTTTTCCCTTCCTTTTCTCTCTTTTTTCCCTTTTCCCCTCCTTTTCTCCCATTTTTCCCTTTTCCCCCTCTTTTTCTCCCCTTTTTCCCTTTTCTCCCTCTTTTCATCCCTCCCTTTTTCCTCCTTTTTTCTCTCATTTTTTCCCCTTTTCCCTTCCTTTTCTCCCATTTTTCCCTTTTCCCCTCTTTTTCTCCCATTTTTTCCCTTTTCCTCCTCTTTTTCTCTCATTTTCTCTCCTTTTCCCTTCCTTTTCTATAATTTTTTCCCTTTCCCCCTCATTTTCTCTCTCATTTTTCCCTTTTCCCCTCTTTCTCTCTCATTTTTCCCTTTTCCCCTCCTTTTCTCCCCATTTTTCCCTTTTCCCCTCCTTTTCTCCCCATTTTTCCCTTTTCTCCTCTTTCTCTCTCCTTTTTTTCTCTTTTCCCCTCTTTCCCCATTTTTCCCTTTCTCCCCTCCTTTTCTCCCCATTTTTCCCTTTTCCCCTCCTTTTCTCTCTCATTTTTCCCTTTTCCCCTCTTTCTCTCTCATTTTTCCCTTTTCCCCTCCTTTTCTCCCCATTTTTCCCTTTTCTCCCTCTTTTTCTCCCCTTTTTCCCTTTTCCCCTCCTTTTCTCCCCATTTTTTCCTTTTCCCCTCCTTTTCTCCCCATTTTTCCCTTTTCTCCCCTCCTTTTCTCTCCCATTTTTCCCTTTCCCCTCCTTTTCTCCCCTTTTTTTCTCTTTTCCTCCTCTTTCTCTCTCATTTTCTCTCCTTTTCCCTTCCTTTTTTCCTATTTTTTCCCTTTTCCCCCTCCTTTTCTCCCCTTTTTTCCCTTTTCTCCCTCTTTTCATCCCTCCCTTTTTCCTCCTTTTCTCTCATTTTTTCCTTTTCCCCTCTTTCTCTCCCATTTTTCCCTTTTCCCCTCTTTCTCTCTCATTTTTCCCTTTTCCCCTCCTTTTCTCCCCTTTTTTCCCTTTCTCCCCTCCTTTTCTCTCTTATTTTTCCCTTTTCCCCTCTTTTTCTCTCATTTTCTCTCCTTTTCTCCCTCCTTTTCTCCCCATTTTTCCCTTTTCCCCTCTTTTCTCTCTCATTTTTCCCTTTTCCCCTCTTTTTCTCCCCATTTTTCCCTTTTCCTCCTCTTTTTCTCTCATTTTCTCTCCTTTTCCCCTCTTTTTCTCTCATTTTTTCCCTTTTCCCCTCTTTCTCTCCCCATTTTTCCCTTTCCCCCTCCTTTTCTCCCTATTTTTCCCTTTTCCCCTCCTTTTCTCCCGTTTTTCCCTTTTCCTCCTCTTTTTCTCCCATTTTCTCTCCTTTTCCCCTCCTTTTCTCTCTCATTTTCCCCTTTTCCCCTCTTTCTCTCTCCATTTTTTCCCTTTTTCCTCCTTTTCTCTCTCATTTTTCCCTTTTCCCCTCCTTTTCTCTCTCATTTTTCCCTTTCCCCCTCATTTTCTCCCCATTTTTCCCTTTTCCCCCTCTTTCTCTCTCATTTTCTCTCCTTTTCCCCTCCTTTTTTCCTATTTTTTCCGTTTTCCCCCTCTTTTTCTCCCCATTTTTCCCTTTTCTCCCTCTTTTTCTCTCATTTTTTCCCTTTTTCCCCCTCCTTTTCTCCCCTTTTTTCCCTTTTCCCCCTCTTTTCATCCCTCCCTTTTTCCTCCTTTTTTCTCCCCATTTTTCCCTTTTCCCCTCTTTTTCTCTCATTTTCTCTCCTTTTCCCTTCCTTTTCTATAATTTTTCCCTTTCCCCCTCATTTTCTCTCTCATTTTTCCCTTTCCCCCTCTTTTTCTCCCATTTTTTCCCTTTTCCCCCTCTTTTTCTCTCATTTTCTCTCCTTTTCCCCTCTTTTTCTCTCATTTTTTCCCTTTTCCCCTCCTTTTCTCCCCATTTTTCCCTTTTCCTCTCTTTTCTCTCTCATTTTTCCCTTTCTCCCCTCCTTTTCTCTCTTATTTTTCCCTTTTCCCCTCCTTTTCTCCCATTTTTTCCCTTTTCCCCTCTTTTTCTCTCATTTTCTCTCCTTTTCCCCTCCTTTTTTCCTATTTTTTCCGTTTTCCCCCTCCTTTTCTCCCCTTTTTTCCCTTTTCTCCCTCTTTTCATCCCTCCTTTTTCCTCCTTTTCTCTCATTTTTTCCTTTTCCCCTCTTTCTCTCTCCTTTTTTCCCTTTCCCCCTCTTTTTCTCCCCATTTTTCCCTTTTCCTCCTCTTTTTCTCTCATTTTCTCTCCTTTTCCCTTCCTTTTCTATAATTTTTCCCTTTTCCCCTCTTTTCTCTCCCCATTTTTCCCTTTCCCCCTCCTTTTCTCCCGTTTTTCCCTTTTCCTCCTCTTTTTCTCCCATTTTTCCCTTTTCCCCTCCTTTTTCTCCCATTTTCTCTCCTTTTCCCCCTCCTTTTCTCCCCATTTTTCCCTTTTCCCCTCTTTTTCTCTCCTTTTTTCCCTTTCCCCCTCTTTTTCTCCCCATTTTTCCCTTTTCCCCCTCTTTTCATCCCTCCCTTTTTCCTCCTTTTTTCTCCCCATTTTTCCCTTTTCCCCTCTTTTTCTCTCATTTTCTCTCCTTTTCCCCTCTTTTTCTCTCATTTTTTCCCTTTTCCCCTCTTTCTCTCCCCATTTTTCCCTTTCCCCCTCCTTTTCTCCCTATTTTTCCCTTTTCCCCTCCTTTTCTCCCGTTTTTCCCTTTTCCTCCTCTTTTTCTCCCATTTTCTCTCCTTTTCCCCTCCTTTTCTCTCTCATTTTCCCCTTTTCCCCTCTTTCTCTCCCATTTTTCCCTTTTCTCCCTCCTTTTCTCCCATTTTTCCCTTTTCTCCCTCCTTTTCTCTCCCATTTTTCCCTTTTCCCCTCCTTTTCTCCCCATTTTTCCCTTTTCCCCCTCTTTTTCTCTCATTTTCTCTCCTTTTCCCTCTTTTTCTCCCATTTTTTCCCTTTTCCCCTCCTTTTCTCCCCATTTTTTCCTTTTCCCCTCCTTTTCTCCCCATTTTTCCCTTTTCTCCCCTCCTTTTCTCTCCCATTTTTCCCTTTCCCCTCCTTTTCTCCCCATTTTTCCTTTTTCCCCTCCTTTTCTCCCCTTTTTTTCCCTTTTCCTCCTCTTTCTCTCTCATTTTCTCTCCTTTTCCCCTCCTTTTTTCCTATTTTTTCCCTTTTCCCCCTCCTTTTCTCCCCTTTTTTCCCTTTTCTCCCTCTTTTCATCCCTCCCTTTTTCCTCCTTTTTTCTCTCATTTTTTCCCCTTTTCCCTTCCTTTTCTCCCATTTTTCCCTTTTCCCCTCTTTTTCTCCCATTTTTTCCCTTTTCCCCTCCTTTTCTCCCATTTTCTCTCCTTTTCCCCTCCTTTTCTGTCTCATTTTCCCCTTTTCCCCTCTTTCCCTCTCCATTTTTTCCCTTTTTCCTCCTTTTCTCTCTCCATTTTCCCTTTTCCCCTCCTTTTCTCCCCATTTTTCCCTTTTCCCCTCCTTTTCTCCCCTTTTTTTCTCTTTTCCCCTCTTTCTCTCCCCATTTTTCCCTTTTCCCCTCCTTTTCTCTCTCATTTTCCCTTTTCCTCCTCTTTCTCTCTCATTTTCTCTCCTTTCCCCCTCTTTTTCTCTCCTTTTTTCCCTTTTCTCCCTCTTTTCATCCCTCCCTTTTTCCTCCTTTTTTCTCTCATTTTTTCCTCTTTTCCCTTCCTTTTCTCCCATTTTCTCTCCTTTTCCCCCTCCTTTTCTCCCCATTTTTCCCTTTTCCCCTCTTTTTCTCTCATTTTCTCTCCTTTTCCCCTCCTTTTCTCTCTTTTTTCCCTTTTCTCCTCTTTCTCTCTCCTTTTTTCCCTTTTCCCCTCCTTTTCTCCCCATTTTTCCCTTTTCCCCCTCTTTTTCTCTCCTTTTTTCCCCTCTTTTCCCCCTCTTTTTCTCTCCTTTTTCCCTTTTCTCCCTCTTTTCATCCCTCCCTTTTTCCTCCTTTTTTCTCTCATTTTTTCCCCTTTTCACTTCCTTTTCTCCCATTTTTCCCTTTTCCCCTCTTTTTCTCCCATTTTTTCCCTTTTCCCCTCCTTTTCTCCCATTTTCTCTCCTTTTCCCCTCCTTTTCTCTCTCATTTTCCCTTTTCCTCCTCTTTCTCTCTCATTTTCTCTCCTTTCCCCCTCTTTTTCTCTCCTTTTTTCCCTTTTCTCCCTCTTTTCATCCCTCCCTTTTTCCTCCTTTTTTCTCTCATTTTTTCCCTTTTCCCCTCTTTTTCTCCCCTTTTTCCCTTTTCTCCCTCTTTTTGTCTCATTTTTTCTCCTTTTCCCCTCCTTTTCTCTCTCATTTTCCCCTTTTCCCCTCTTTTTCTCCCCTTTTTTCCCTTTCTCCCCTCCTTTTCTCTCTTATTTTTCCCTTTTCCCCTCCTTTTCTCCCATTTTTTCCCTTTCCCCCTCTTTTTCTCTCATCTTCTCTCCTTTTCCCCTCTTTTTCTCTCATTTTTTCCCTTTTCCCCTCCTTTTCTCTCTCATTTTTCCCTTTCTCCCTTCCTTTTCTCCCCATTTTTCCCTTTTCCTCCTCTTTTTCTCTCATTTTCTCTCCTTTTCCCCTCCTTTTCTCCTATTTTTTCCTTTTTCCCCCTCTTTTTCTCCCCATTTTTTCCCTTTTCCCCCTCCTTTTCTCCCCTTTTTCCCTTTTCTCCCTCTTTTCATCCCTCCCTTTTTCCTCTTTTTCTCCCCATTTTTCCCTTTTCCCCTCTTTTTGTCTCATTTTTCCCTTTTCCCCTCCTTTTCTCCCCATTTTCCCTTTCCCCCCCTCCTTTCCCCATTTCTCCCCTGCCCCCTTTTCCCGGCTGGCTCCCGGTGCCACCCAGCCCTGCTGGTGGCCTTGGGGACAATGCCAGCGCTGCCACCTCCCCAGGCCACCAACATCGTTCCCCTGACCCCGATGGCGCTGGTGGCCCCGGAGGAGGCGGAGAAGAAGGAAAATCCCCTCCTGAGGTGACTCCCGAGTGTCCCCGTGCCCTGGTGCCATTGTCCCTGTCCCCATCCCCTGGTGCCATTGTCCTGTGTCCCTGTCCCCATCCCCTGGTGCCATTGTCCTGTGTCCCCATCCCCTGGTGCCATTGTCCTGTGTCCCTGTCCCTGTCCCCATCCCCTGGTGCCATTGTCCCGTGTCCTGTGTCCCTGTCCCCATCCCCTGGTGCCATTGTCCTGTGTCCCTGTCCCCTGGTGCCATTGTCCTGTGTCCTGTGTCCCTGTCCCCATCCCCTGGTGCCATTGTCCTGTGTCCCTGTCCCCATCCCCTGGTGCCATTGTCCCGTGTCCTGTGTCCCTGTCCCCATCCCCTGGTGCCATTGTCCCTGTCCCCATCCCCTGGTGGCACTGTCCTGTGTCCTGTGTCCCTGTCCCCACCCCCTGGTGCCATTGTCCTGTGTCCCTGTCCCCATCCCCTGGTGGCATTGTCCCTGTCCCCATCCCCTGGTGCCATTGTCCCGTGTCCTGTGTCCCTGTCCCTGTCCCAACTGGGATTGTCCCTGTCCCTGGGATGTCCATTGGGGATGGGCTGGGGA